CCCCTTTACCGTGGCCGGGGTTTAAGACCAGGCTTTTCGGGAACAAGGCCGTGCCCCTGCGCACCCGGGTTTTGTTGCTGCGCTCGCTTGCGGTTTCCAGGTTTGTACATTCCAGTGCCGCGGTTATTCTTACCGCGGCGACGCATGAAAAGCTGTGGGATCGTGCTTTTCTGGATCTCTGGCGTCCCCTGATTCCCAGGACTGCGGCGGACAAACAGGCACACTCCTTCGAGGTGCTCCGAACTGCCGAGGCACCGTCACCACCTTTGGCCATGGCGCATGCGCGGGCCAATTTCCTCAGACAGCTTACCAGGCACGGTCCGGCTGTCCTGCGCTTCCACTTGTGGCAGCACTGGCTTGCCCACCCCAAGAGTTCTTGGCTCTCTCAAGTGGAGGCGGATGTTGACCTTGTTCTCCAATACCGGCCGGACTTGGCCCCGCTTTTTCCTGCCTCCTCTCGTGTTTCCACGTTGCTTGAGGCCTTGCAGGAGGATCCCGGATGGTGGCTTAGTCAGGTAAAAAAGGCCTGCAAGGTCTTTCAGCGAGACCTAGCATCTTGGCATCAACAGGGCAGTCCCTCAGTTGCGGCACCCCAGGAGGACGCCGATGCGACAGTGCCAGTGCGGCCCCATCAGTGTCCAGTGTGTTCCGCCTGCTTTCAATTCCGGAAACATTTGGGAGCTCATATGGCCAAGGCCCACAAAACCTGGAGCCCTACCCGGCATTATACCTTGGACGTGTACTGCCATGCCTGCCATGTTTGGTATGGCACGGTCTCTCAGGTTAATTTCCACTTGAAGCGCTACCCTGAGTGCCTACGCAGGGTCAGTATGCTCTTCCCACCCCTGTCCACTCCCCAGATACGTTCTGTGGAATTTGAAGAACAAAAGCTCGCCCGCAAAGTCCGTCAGGGCCAATGGGCCAGCTACAAGGGGGTGAGACAACGCTCCATCTTCTACGGTCCACGTACCCCTACGGCTTCCGAGCGCATGGAGGGAGTAGACTTTTTTGATGAGAGTTGTTCTCTTTCTGATCTGCGAAAGGTGTTTCAGCCAGACCCCGCAGATGTAGAGTGGATTGAGCAGTACATTTCAGAGCGCTCTTCGGAAGGTCCCCGGCAATCGTCCGGAGCCTTTTGGAGAAATAGGGCCATGCATTGTTTCACTGCGAATTCGTAAATTTTTGGGACGCGTCGCCAGCGACTCGACTGTCCGCAATCCAATCCAATCCAATACTCTTTTGGGGACTCCTTACTATAATTATAGTATAATGGGCCGCATAACCCTATTCTAAGTATTAAGGCCCCTAAACCCTAAACCCTTATAGTAAAACCCTTATAGAAGCCTTTCAGGAACCCTTTAAAGGAGCCCCAAAACCCTACTCTGATTATTAGGGCCCCTACATTACATGCTCACCAGAAAGCTCCACAACCCTAAACCCTAAACCCTAGACAGGCGCCTCTCGTGCATGCTCGACCGGCATCGCCCTGGAGCATGGCTCCTGCTGCTGCTTGCTTCATTCAGGGTTTAGGGTTTAGGGGCTTGCTTCATTCCCGCGTTTTCTGCTGCAGGTCCCTAAGGGTCCATGTACCCAAATACTATATACTTTGGCCTTCAAGTAGTCCTTGTTTGGGTCCCTTGGAGGTCTATGTATATACTCTATCAGCACATGGACCCTTGTGGGGGTCAGCTGTGTGATTGGTTTTGCAGCTCGGGGTGGAGGCTTCCAGGGCTCCTTTAGGCGACTCAGGGATGTAGTGTCAGGCTGAAGCTTCCCAGAACTTCGCCTGTCCTCTACGATGACGATAGCCTATTCCCCATTATTGCGCCCGCGGTCGTGGCAGGAATGAGCCGTTAAGTCTCGAAGCCTTGTTCCATGCTTCAGCCTTCTTTGGGTCCATGTACTCACATATTATCTCTGGCCTTAAGGTAGAGTCCCCATCTTGGGTACTTTAGGGCCTCAGCTTCTACCAATATGGTATATCGACTGGGGGGGGTTAGGCCGCGAAACTCCCCCCACGTTGATGCAACGTCACGCTGGAAACCCGGAAAGTGCGAATCGTAGGCTGCAGAACACTAAACCATAAGTCCGAAGCTGTACGTCCATATACGCCTTAGTTAGATCTTATGGACCCTTCCACCCTTGCTCAAACTCTTTGAGCTAACAAGCTCTATGTTGTAGTTCTATGCTCCCTTCCGTCCCGAGAGGGTGCCCAGGAACTTTGGGCCTAACTGAACCCGTGGCCAACGGGAATACGCATGCTTTGGGTTCCCTTTAATTTTTAGCAAACACAACTGATTCTGCATATCAGGGCACAGATATCCCCAAAGCAACCTTCCCCCCCCCTCCACCTCCGACACACCCCACCACCGCTTAGAGACGTCTATGAGTCTATGAGCTGCAGTGTAGCGTTTGGTTGTGGGTGTTGGTTTTCCAACCCGAAGCCCAGCGCTGCAAAAGCTGAGGACTACTGCGATTTCAGGGCCGATCCCTCTCCGCCCGCAGGTGCCAGCCCGCGTTTTCGTGTTCGGGGCATCGGGTGTCATTTTCGAGGGAAGCACGTGGGCCTAATTACAAGGCCAGGGGTTCCTTCGACTTTGCTTTTTCGGCTTTTTCAACTACTAGAGCATCCCCCCCCCCACAGCCTATCCTTGCACGCTTTGGTCCGGATGTTTGAGCTAAGACTCAGTACTTAGAAGTTGAGACTAGGGCTGGTGGAATTTATCCATAGGCCCCATAGTGGTTCCTTTTTGGGATTACCTTATAGGATCCTAAATATAAGCCACAAAAACGGAACTACTATGGGGCCTATGGGTACAGTGATCGCAGGATAAACGCCGATTGCGTCAATCTGGAGCAAGCCCTGAGAGCCCTGAAACCTTAAATCCGTGACCCTGTAACCATGACCTGGACCCTGAAAGTATGTAGAATAATAGCCTTTTATAGGTTTTGGGCCATTATTTGACCTAAAGCCTTCACCCCAACATCCTACATCCCAATCCCCGTCATGTCGGAAAGCGTCTATCTCCCTCTCTCTCTCTCTCTCTCTCTCTAATTATTCTAATGACACACGTATGCGTATATATATATATATATTATAGAGAGAGAAGCAGATGTATATACCTGCAGACACACGCACACACCTAAACATGCTTTCATACATACATACGTACGTGCATGCATGCCTGCATGCATGCACGCATGCATACAGACGTACGTGCACACACACACACACATACATGTTTTACGTGTTTCGCTTCAGTACCCAAACCCTGCTCAACCCATTTCCCAAGCCCCAAAATCCGTACGTAGCCCTAAACCCTAAACCCTACACCCTAAACCCTACACCCTACACCTTAAACCCTAGACCCTAGACCCTAAACCCTAAACCCTAAACCCTGAACCGTAAACCCTAAACCCTAAACCCTAAACCCTAGAAGCCCAAGACCTCCACCATCCCTAACCCCCATAGTCTCGACTCGGAAACCCTGGAGTCGCTATCCCCCAAAGCCCGAAACCCTGAACCAAAAGCCCCAGAAGCCCGAAAGGCCCTACCCATAGGCCCCAAAAGTATGTAGAATAATAGCCATTTCATAGGTTTTGGGCCATTCTTTCACCTACTTTTGGGGGTTTAGGTAAAGCTAAAGCCCTAATCCCTAAAGCCTGCAGCAGAAAAAATAGCCCTGGAGGCTCTTTTTAGGAGACCTCCTTTCCATGCTTCAACAAAAAGGAGAGTAGGCGTCCTGGACTATGGGGCTTGGAGTTTAGGGGTATGGGAATTTGGGGGTTTTGGGGTTTGGGTTTAGGGTTTAGGGTTTAGGGTCTAGGGTTTAGGGTTTTTGGGGCAGGGGGTTTGGGATTACGGCTTTCTCGTTTAGGGGTGTAGGTTGGGTACGTAAGCCCTGCGATGGGGCTAGGGTGCTCAAGCCCCTAAGTAAGGGGAGATCATCAGTGTCTCGTGGTGGGAAGCACGAGGGTTTAGGGTTTAGGGTTGAGGGTTTAGGGGGTTTAGGCATTGATTAGCGTGATCTTAGGTACCAGCCTTGCCAACAGAGTTTATGCTTTAGGGCTTTGGGGTTTAAGCTGTAGGGCTTTAGGGCTTATGCTTTCGTTGTTCAGGGTTTGACGTGAGACCTCGCCCCCCAACCATATAGGGTTTCGGGTTTAGGGTTTAGGGTTTCGGGTTCATATTACATACGATCCTGAACACGGGTTTGCAAGTTTAGGGCCTACGGTTTAGGGTTGTGGGGTTTAGGGAAGTACTACACGGCCAGACCTTGAAGTGATGACGGAGCATACACGTAAGAGTGGCCATCCTTTACCCTAGGCTTCCAAGGACCTTATAGTTAGGGCCCTAGACCCCTTAAGGACCCAATAAGAAGGTCCCTGGAAGCCTAGGGGTATTCATTGAAAACCATGAAGGACTTGGAATCTTGCCGGGCTATGGGATTGGGGTTTAGGGTTGAGGGTTTAGGGTCTAGGGTTGAGGGTTTAGGGTTGAGGGTTTAGGGTGAGTAACTCCGGGTATCAGTATAGTAGAACACTCCTCAAACCCTGTTCCGATTTTTGAGGCCCCTGTATTTGGAAGTAAGCTGTGTCCGGGAGAGCCATTCGACTTAAAGACCCACTCACAGAGCAATGCAAGCCTATAGAGCCCAAGCAATCACGGAGCAATTGGGGCTCTTAGCATGGTGATCTCTGGACTCTCCCTGTGGTCTCCATTGTAGTTCCTTTTTTTGGTTTAACCAAGTATATATTAAGGATTCTATAAGGTATCCCCAAAAAGGAACTACAATGGAGACTACAGGTCTCTGTTGTTCGGATCTTTTCTGACGTCTTGGAGCTTTGCGGGCCCCGAAACCCTAAACCCTAAACCCTAAACCCTAAACCCGAAACCTAAACCGTTATAAATCCCCCTAAGATGGGCCTAGATATAGTTACCCCCGCTTACACGAACCTCCAAGTGCTGGTTGAAGATCCTAGGTCCTAGCTTTAGGGCCTTTAGGGTTTAGGGTTTCAGGGTCTAGGGTTTAGGGTTTTAGGGTTTAGGGTATCGAAGCATAAGCAAAGCGAACTCGGTGCGACAAGGACACTTTTTGATGGTACAACAGCCCAGGAACTGATTCATAAAGAATCTGCTTTGGCTTGGTGTCACGGCAGTAGCGACGGCCGCAGCCAATCCAAAAGGACAGGCTGCTAGTTTCTATGTGTCTGCTCACCTATGATCTTGATATAGGCAGAGAAACTTGAGAAACCGAAACCCTCGCTTGCAGTAAGGGATCTATAGCCTGGGACTATGACTTTGAAGCTAGTGTAAGTCTGAGAGCTGAGTCGGCTCTCTCCGCCAGTGATCCGAATTCAGGTGCTCCGCATGGGACTATGTAACGTAAAGCCCTTCGTACTATGACTCCAAAGCACGCGGGAAAACCTCTGAGACTTAGCCTTCGCATGCCACCGGCGCAGGTGCCCTGCGGGTACAGGCGCCCCCTCCGCATTGGGGTGGCACAAGATGCCAGGCGCCTCCTGCGCACAACTGTAGGCATCTTACGGATTGGGGTCCTTTATGGGCCAAAGGGACATCAAGTCGTTCGGTTCTTTGGGAGGGGGGGGGGGGGTTAGAAGCATGTGTTCCGGCTTAATAATAATAAAGCAGGTTGGTCAGGCAAGAGCGGGAGCAGAAACGGGAGTGGTCACAAGGAGACATGTGCTAAGTATCTATGTATATATATATATATATATATACGTATATACACACATGCAGTGTGTGTATATATATATATATATAAATACCCTGAGTATGTTACATATATGTAACATACTCAGGGTATTTATAATATATATATATATACACATACAATATGCATCTGCACTATGTTTGCACCTCTCTATCTGTACATGTTATTGGTTTAAATGTCCATCTATCTATCCGTCTACCCGTCGATCTACCTAGCTGTCCATCCATCCATCGATGCATCCATCCATCCATCCACCCATCCACCCGTCCTCCCATCCACCCATCCGGCCATCCGCCCATCCGGCCCATCCGCCCATCCACCCGTCTATCCATTAATCAATCTGTCGTTTCATGGATCTGTCTAGCTTTGTATCTATCTATCTATCGATCTATCTACTGACCTATCTATCTACCTATCTATCTACCTATCTATCTAACTATCTATCTATCTATCGATCTTTCTATCTATCTATGTATCTATCTATCTATCGATCGATCTTGCTTTCATATCATGCACATATGTATATATATATATATACACAGATAGCGTCATATATATATATATGTGTGTATGTGTATATATATATATATATATACATGTATATATATATATATATGTATATGCATATGTATATGTATACATGTAACGATTGCGAGAGTCGGACCGCCGGTGAGGTTCCAGGGCTCTGTTGTGGTTCGATTCTATGCGTGTGGCCTGGGCTTTTCAGTATAGACGGTAGGCTTGAGGTGCAGGGGTTTCGGGTTTCTTGTCTTCAGGGGCCTAAATCCTTAACCCTACCTTGACCCCAAATAACCCACCTTTTTAGGGACTTCTATAAAGAATTCATAATAAGGGACCCTAAAAAGGTAGGTTCTTCAGGGTCCAGGTAGACCCTACGGTCCGTCTCTTGTATCGTCGCGGTTTCCCAACCTTGAAACCCAGTTCGCTCTAGAGCCGCCGCTACAGCCAGGGATCGCAAATGTTTCTGGCACACATATGTGTTCATATATGCGTAGATGTATATACATATGCCTTTATACTTATATATGTGCGTGCATGCTTGTATGATGATAAAAACAACTGCCTCTATATCTAGAGAGCTAGAGCGAGAGCTAGAGCGAGAGCTAGAGCGAGAGAGAGAGAGAGCGAGAGACACAGAGAGAGAGAGAGAGAGACAGAGAGAGAGACAGGGAGAGGCAGGGAGAGGCTGTGTGGAAGAAGAGGGAGAGACAGAGAGAGAGAGAGAGAGAGAGACAGAGAGAGAGAGAGAGAGAGCGAGAGCGAGAGCGAGAGCGAGAGGAAGAGAGAGAGAGAGAGGTGGGGAAAGGCTTTGCGCAGGTTTCGAGAATGTTTGGGTTTACGTCCTTCAGTCCCGAAAGCCTGGACACCCCGAAGTCGCTAAACGCTTAGTTCCAACCCGAAAGAAACTTGAAACACTGAACGCTGAACCTACAGTAAACCCCAAAAAGTTGGAAACCGACTTAAGGACAAATAGTGCTGGGATTCCCTATACATTACTCTTGAGGATTGAGGCTATTAAGTTTCCAGCTTTTTGGCTTCTACTGTAATTGGATATCTAGGTTTCTGTTTGATTCCTAGACCCTCCATCTACCCTCTATTAGACCCTAAATACCCTCAATTTGGGACCATATACCCCTATTTGAGGGTACAAGGAGGGTCCTGGTTCTCTCTGCTGCAACCACTTGGAGGCCCAGGGGACTTAGTGACTAGGTTATAAGTAGAGTTATAAGTACCCTAAATGGAGTTACCCCAATTATAACCCTACTTATAACCGACTTACTAAGTCCCCTGGGCCTCCAAGCAGGGCGTTGTGCTTCGGCAAGCAGAAGGCCATCCTCAGGCCAGCCGTTGGTGGGACTGAAGAGATTGGAGTATTCGGGGTCTACCTATAGTATAAAATCCTTAATATATTATTGGTTAAACCAAAAAAAGGAACTACAATGGAGACTATAGGTAGCGTTTGGGGTGTAGGGTTTAGGGGGTTAAGGTTTTTTTAGCAAGTTTTGGGGTAAAGGCTTTTGGGGTGGTTTCTTGGTTTTAGTGAGGGTTTAGGGTTTGGGTTAGGTGGCTTCCAGGCTTAGGAACTGTAGCGGAGTTTCAGAAAATTGGCGACCCGCACATAGGCGTGTGTCGAGGGGACCTTTAAAAATGCGCCGCAATCTGCTGAAGCTCCCGTACCAAGTAAACGGCCGTAGCGGCTTTCAACAGCGGAATAAACGCACGGTTTATGCCTGTGAATAGAAATTACAGTGTTTGTATTGCATTTGGTCACTTGCGTCGTAGACGTGTTGCTTTACCAAGACATAATATTGCCCGGCCAACAAAAACGGAGAATGATGTGCGTGACCTTTACGGGTTCATGCCCCACGTGTAAGTATCATGGCAGTTAAACTTAAACTGCAAGAGTTCACCCCGACTTAGCAAATGTCCTTTCCTGACATCTGAAGAAAAGGGTGGGATCAAGCTTCTGACATTTCAACCGCAAGCTCTGTAGTCCCCCCAGAGGACCCTGAGTTGAGGGCTGCTTGTGTGTGTGTGTGTCAGGTTCGTGTGTTCGCCTCTCCCGTTCCAGGGGCTGCGGTGCTGGGTCCCTTGGAATCAAATGGAAATGTCCGAGTGTCGTTTGGGGGGGTAGTTGTTGGGGCGTTGAGGCTCGCATTGCTGTTGCAGTGGGGTTACTGGGATAGCATGACACCGTCCTTCCAGCGACCAAGAGCAAACCACACGCTGTCAGTGCGCGCACTCGTTTGTGTGTCAGTGTGTGTGTGTGTGTGCGCGTGTGTGTCTGTTCATTTGTCTGTTAATATCTCCTTTCATTTGTGTGTGCAGGCATATGGATGTACGCATGTATGTATGTACGTATGTATGTATGTATGTATGTATGTATGTATGTGTGGATGCACACATGCTGGTTTGCATACACACATGCATGCGTGCCCAGGCAAGTAGGTAAGTGTGCATGTATGATGTAATTGTGCATACTTTTTGTCTGTGCATGTTTATGTGTGTTGTGCCTGAAACTGCAGACATGCGCTTAAGCACCTGTCCATTGGTATGTACTGTATAGTCGTACCTGTGATAGCTTACGAATATGTATACAAGAGGGATGCACTGTAGGTCAAGCTAGGATCCCTGCCTGACCACATTTTAGGGTATGATCTGTGATTGGGATATATCAGGACAGAGCTATATCTACATTTCCAGATACATATATCCCTCCTCTCTCTCTCTCTCTGTATACATGTATATGCAACCGTTTTTGCATATGTGTATGTATGTATATATAGAATTATACAGATATTTGTGTTTGTTTCTGGTCATTCTGGACTGCCGGATTCTGCACGGACCCCATTGGGAACTCTCACAGTTTATGTTTCGGTTTTTATAAGGTAAGCCCCAGAAGGCATCTACAATGAAGACTATTTGATTTAACTTGTGAGAGGCGAAGGTAAACCGTATATTATACCTATAGTATTCGTTGTAGTTCCTTCTGTTAAGGTTTAACCAATTATGTATCCAGGGTCCTATAAGGTAACCCAAACAAGGAGCGACAATGGAGCAAAAGTGATACGCAACCCCGGCATACCAATTACAGTTGACAGTTATTGATGTTCTCCCTGAGCCCTTATTTAGTCAGTAAGTACACGGTAATATAATATATCATATATATATATATATGTACATATATAAATATACATACATACATACATACATACATACATACATACATACATACATACATACATCTATATATATATATATGTATATACACAACAACATGATTCCAAACATGAAAGCTCCAGTTGGCTCTTGCAGAGTGGAGTTTGGGGCCTTGCGCTGTTCTTGTAAGTGTGGTTTTCGACTCCGCTCAGCACCCTGTTTAGGGTTTAGGGTTTAGGGTTTAGGGTCTGAGGCACAGTTCCCAGTCCAAGCCACGCGGTGGAACTCGGAGTCATTGAGCCCTTTGTACAGGTCGCTTGCCTTGCTAAGGGTCCATGTATCTCCATGTACTCATGCAGTATATACTTTGGCCTTAAGGTAGCCGCAGCCCCTGTCTAGGATTTTTACGGCGCAAGTCATCATTCTTTGAGTACTAAACCCTAAACCCCTAAACCCTAAACCCCAAACCCCTGAACCCCTAAACCCTAAACCCTGAACCCTAAACCCCTAAACCCTCAACCCTAACCCCTAACCCCTACATGGACCCTTAGGGCTTCGAGGACAGGTGGAGTCCCAGGCTTTGGGTTTTGGTGGTTCTCCGGCTGCAGTCCGAGGCTCCGGCAGTGTCTAGGCTCCTACCCATAGGGTTTAGGGCGTAGGGTTTAGGGTTTAGAGTTTAGGGCTTTGGGCTTAGGGTTTAGTGCTCAGGGTTTAGGGTTTGGGGCTTAGGGTTTAGTGCTCAGGGTTTAGGGTTTAGGGCTTGGGGTTTAGGGTTTCTACCTTAATAATTAGCTATACTATTTTGGGAGCTCCTTATTATAATTATATATAGTATAATGGAGGCGACTTGTCTTTCCTTGCAGGGTTTTTGCACAGAAGGTATCCATGAAAAGGAATCGGAAGTGTGTTGGTGCTTTGTTATTACAAAGTATAATTCAGTGCGCAGTTGACCAAAGCCCAGACCCCCCAGAAGCCTCGATCTGAGTAAGTCGCCAAAACCCCATAAGCTTCAATCTCTGATAGATTGCTTCAGGCTTGTCTTAAAATCTCTGACCCCACTGGAGATGCGAGAGCAGATAATTTGGAAGCTCTTGCAGTCAGCGTTGGGCAGAGACAATGCAGAGCCCGAAACTCTTTGCATAAGGATGCTCCGTCCGGGAAGGTGGTGGCATATTCACCAGCTGTATATGGGTAGTTCTCTAAATGAGGGTCCCTTTTGGGGGTCCTTTTTATAAGGGTGCCGTACTATATGGGGACCTAAAATGGGACCTTAATTTAGAGAACTACCCATATATCGAGGTGTATCTCGATGAATGCAGCTGCTGCGTCAAGGCCTACTTTCTACCAAGTCTGTCGGCGATGGCGCCACTGCCTCGAGTGCCGGTCCAAAAGCCAACACCCCATCTGCCTGACATGGAGGTCCGGGTGAGGGTTTAGGGTTTAGGGTTTAGGGAAAGCCGGCGCTTGGGTTGCGGCCGGTTCGGAGCCTACCGGCATTCCCGGCTTAGCTGCCTTGCCCTCCGATTGGGAGGGCGTGTCCGTGCTGATCTCGGATGTGCGGCATGGCAGCAAAAGCTCCATCCCGTCTTGTTCCTTCTGCACGAAGAACGACCACGTGCACGGTTGCGAGGTGCGGCCCCAAAGCCCTAATCTAATTACTGAGGCCCCTATATTATGTCCTTTAGGGTTTAGGGCTTGTAGGATCCTACATATGGGCCACGAAAGGGAACTGCAATGGAGCCTACGGGTAATCTAGGAACCTGGGTTTAGAAACCCGAAATTAGGGGTTAAGAAACCCTGGCCCTATAACCCCCAAAATATTGGGACTGGGATCCATGTACGGAAGCCTGATAACCGAATACAGAATCAAGGCTTCTTAATCAGGTTCCTATATGGCAGCCCAGAGCCTTAAGGCGTCAACGCGAACTTTCGGGTGCCCATGGCAAGGAATTTCTTCGTCATATTCCGTCCAGCTTCAGGTGACAAGGACTGTGTCAACGGAAGGACCCTAAATCCTAAAACCTAAGCCGTCGAGTTTGAAGTCTACATGTCCCCTCAAACGCCAAGGTCGTCGGAAGGAGCACTACTAACGACAATCACAGGAAAAGTCAAGTATTATATAGGGGCCGAAATGATTACCACTACTATTTGTTTTTGAGTGGGGCTCCTTATGATTAGAATAGTCTAACATGACCCCAGAGCCTTATCCAAATCGCTAAAGACCCTGTGTTATGTTAAGTTTCAGGTTCCCCCGCTTGTTATCTTAGTTCGCAGCTTGGGAGGATCTAAGATGAAGCCAACCCCAAACTCGGTGTAGGCTGCAACCTTTATAAACCCTAAACGTTGAAACCCTAAACGCTAAACCCTAAACATTCAACCCTAAACCCCAAACCTGAAACATTATGAACCCTAAATACTAAGCACTAAACCCTAAACATTCAACCCTAAACCGAAAACCGGAAATCCCAAACCCTAAACCCTAAGCCTTAAATCCTAAACCTTAAATCTTAGACCTTAAACCTTAATTCTTAAACCCTGAATTCACCTGGTAGAGGAGATCCGGAGGGTGTACAGGGGCTCCGGGCTTAAAGGATACCCTAACAAGATTTTGGGGTTTAGGGCGGTTTCTACCCTAAGCCCAGATACCTAAGAAGGTTTTGGGGTTTAGGGCTTTGGGGCCAAATCTGGTGTGGGGTTTTGTTTTTCCTTGTTCTTGGGTCTTCCTCGTCAGGTAGTTTCTAACCATTTGCGATCGATGTTACGATAGGCTGTATTCTCAACCCCACATGACATTAAGCCGCGAGACTCATAAGCCTTAAAAATACCTGTAGTCTCCATTGTAGTTCCTTTTGGGGGATACCTTATAGAATCCTTAATATATACTTGGTTAAACCAAAAAAAGGAACTACAATGGAGACCACAAGTATTTGTCCGCACTTCAGGTTCAAGTGGGTACGATGACGGGCTGGGTCGGCGCGAAGAACGTGGCACGAAGCTAAGGGCCGGGTGACTACATTTAGGAGCCCCAAAAAAGACATAAGCACAAGCATGTTATAGGGATATCCCTACCCTCTTGGGCTTCATTATAAGCGGGTTTGTATGGGATATCCCTATCCTAATTGTTGCTTATGTGCCTTTTGGGAGCCCACTACTGGCTGCGGATCATGGTTCCCGGCTTCGGGCTTTTTTACATGTTTAACAAAGCTGAGGGTGTTTAGGATTCAGGATTTCCGGTTCAGGACTAGCCCAAGGCTTTATTTTATGCGTTAGGGTTAGGGTTGGTAGGTTTAAATTCGGGAGTTTACACTTATTTGCCTAGTGTATGACGTGAGATGAGTCAAAGTAAGGTCATGAACCAAGAGAAAACACGTAAGTGAATCCATTCCTGCGACACCCTAGCCGTGCTCAACATTCGCGAGGTAGAAGTTAGGTCAGATGCCAGCGGTCAGATTTGCTACTCTTCTGCTGAACGCCTGACGTCCCTGCTGCTGCAGCGGCAGAGTTAGAGACTGTGCTGCTCTACTTCGCAGCGTGATGCTGAAAGCCAGTCGGGTTTAGGGTGTAGGGGTGTAGCCTCTAAACCCCAAACCCTAAACTGCAGCCTTTGGTTCAACACGTTTGACTACATTGGCTGACTCGTTGTGCTCAATACCTTTTTTGGGTTTCTTGCATCTTAGGGCATTGGGTTTAGTGTCTAGGGTTCCTGTACAGCTATAATAAATGAGGCAAACACCCAGACCCGCTCAATCCGATGTCGCCGCGATACAGCTTGTTACAAATGCACCCGGAAAAAGACACGGCTGTCGGGTTTATATCATGCGAAAGTGCAACCACGGCTAAGACATTCAGTGTCACCAACACCGATACTTCCTTTAATACTCACAAGCGCTGCAGGAACAGTGGAATGAACAGTTGTTTGGGCTGTGGCGTGGCTTGTACAGTCGTGGTTCCCAATGCAACAGCAGCGACACTGACAACAAAGGCTCAGAGCCATTATGGAATCCTGAATAAGCACCAATACATTTATGTCCCTAGATTTCCTGATTATAGACTACAAGCATACTATCCTATACCATGTACCCCAAAGCCTGCTAACTATTAAGGCCCCCATGTCACACCCTTAAACCCTAAACACCAGGTCCGAACCCCAGCAGTCTCTGCCACACCTTGGCAGCCCGAGGCCAGGGATCTCTTTTAGGATTCAGGGTTTAGGGTTCAGAGTTTGGGTTTAAGGGTGTAGGGTTGAGGGTTCAGGGTTTAGGGTTCAGAGTTTGGGCTTGAGGGTTTAGGCTTCAGGGTTTAGGGTTCAGGATTCAGGGTTAAGGGTTAGTCTCCATTGTAGCTCCTTTTTGGGGTTACTTGTAGGATCCTTAACATAAAATAAATGGGTTAACCCCCAAAAAGGAACTGCAATGGCGACTGTAGGTAGGGTTTACCTATAGTCCCCATGGCAGGTTCTTTTTCGGGGTTACATTAAATGATCCCAAACATGCACCTACTTGGTTAAGCCACCAAAAAGAACTGTAATGGAGACTGTAGGACCTGTTCAAGGGGGCTCCGGGCGTGGGTTTGGGCTTTGTGAAACTAGAGTAGATCACAGGCTTAAGCCAGAGGGTGTAACTTGCCGTAGATGCAGACTTGCGGGTCGAGGACTTAGTTTTCCCAACAACCCCAAATCGAACCCTAAACCCTACACTAGCCTGACAGCTCGAAGTAGGACCGCCAACGCTGTTCGTGCGAACATCCGGAAGTTGACAGGCCTTTAAGCAGCCAGGGAAGGAACCGTGGTATAGGGCGGAGTGCGTATAGGGCCTATATAGGGTTTAGCTCGGGTTTAGGGTTTGAGGTTTAGGCCTCCGCCATCGACCGACTGCAAGCATCGCAGGCTTAAGCAGGAAGTTATTTTGCAGATCCCCCAAAGGGTCCAAGTATAGTAGATTCTTCGTAGAGATTTGGGCCCCCAAAGTATATACTAGCTGTTACTTGAACCCTCATAAGCGATGGACACTGTGCCAGATAACCCGGTAGCGACACATCGGAGAAACGGCAGTTTGGAGAAGTAACGTGCGCATCCACAGCGCGAGGTTCTCATTACCCCTAAACCCTAACCCTAAGGGTCCAAGTACCTAATAATCACATACTCTCCCAAATAGTAACCCACATAACTACTATCCGAAACCTAAGTACCTGATTATTGGTTCCTTTGGACCCTTAGGGTAAACCCTAAACCACCCCTGCATAATTGCGCACTGCCGAAGGTCCCGAGGGTTCCCACCCCATCAGTTCCTAAGTGTCCATGTACTCATCTAGTACCTTACTTCTGGGTTCCTCAGTACCGTTTTACGCTTTTTGTTTTTAGGGTTCCTTAGTAAAACCAACTAATTAGTAGGAAGAAGGGTACCCTTACTTTTCTTAGGGGCTACTGGGGCACCTGGACTTTGATTTTAGCAATATAAGTACGTCAGGGCAAAGGCATATACTAGATGGGTACATGGACCCTTAAACCCTAAAGCCCTTCTAGAACCCTTTATAGAAACCCCTATGGAAACCCCGAAAGTAACCCTTCTAGAACCCTGATAGAAACCCTTATAGAAGCCCTTATAGTAACCCTCATAGGTACATGGACCCTCAGGAAGTGTGACCGTCAGGCTCATGCATGGGCCCCATCGCCACAGCCAAATCCAGGCCTGTCAGTTTAGGGGTTTAGGGGTTTGGGGTTTAGGGTTTAGGTTTAGGTTCATCTTGCTACAGCAAATCCCAGAAAGTTGGAGCATGGGTTAACGATGATTAGGGCTAGGATTCCTTATATGTTATCTTACCTAAACCCCCAAAAGAGGCAAAATCATGGCCCAAAACCTATAAAAGGGCTAGTATTCTACATACTTTTAGGGTGCAGGTAACGGCATGTGGAGAATCATGTTCCAACTTTCTGGCTTCTACTGTACCTGACCCTGACCTTTCACCATTTTGTAACACATAGGCCTTGAAAGGGATCGACAAGGGATGTAACATGGTACTACAAGGGTGTAGGGTTTAGGGTTCCGAAATATAGAAGCCTGAAAATTGCCAATGCTATCCTTCAGTGATCCTTATTGCAATTCGAGCAGAACAGACCCCAACACCTCTCTCTAATTATGAAGGCCCCTGTGTCAACCATTTTGGTTCGGGCGAAACCCACCCGCGGACCAAATCAAGCGTTTGGAGAAGAGATCAAACTGCAGAACCCCCGTGTGGGTGGGTGTTAAGGTTTCTTGGGCCTAGAGTTTACACGCAAAGGATCCTTAATAATCAGAATAGCGTTTTGGGGCCCATTATACTATAAATAGACTGAAAAGCACCCCAAAAAAGTATCGGTAATTCAATGGCCCTTACATTATGCTTTGAAGGATCCTTGATGTGCAGCCCGGCTTTAGAGTTCATTCTGCGATGGATGCCGGGCAAGCTTGGACACCTCGAACCTTTACACTCGAGACCCTAAACCCAAGCCGTCAAAAAGGAGTGCCGGGAGCAATCACGAGTGAATATGTAACGAATCTTGGAGCAGAGTTCTTATGTATTCCCTAGGGTGCCACTTAGCCAGATAGTAGGGCATTGCCCACAGTACCGCATTTCTCCTCAAAGTGGACACTGAGGCATTTTAGGGGCATTCGAGGGACCCTTCGTGGTACATATAGGCTTTGCAGTAGATAATGTAAGGATGATTCGTTTTGCTCTTGCTGCTCTCAGTGCGGACTTAGCCTCGTGGCACGGTCGGCCGCATGTTGGGCTTCATTCGCGCTGGTGCAGTGCTTGGTTATATTTATACCTATTATTACTATGATGATTATTATGATTGTTATTATGAGGTTAATATACATATATATATATACATATATATATATATATATACATGTATATACATATATATATATATATACATGTGTATGACCTCGTTCTTGTTTTGCTTTGTGTTGGTTAGTAGCCCATGGCGTGTTGAATTTCCAGTTTCGGATGCCGAGTTGAGGGTGTAGGGTGTAGGGGTTTAGGGTTTTAGGGGTTTACGGGTTTTAGGGTTTAGGGTTTAGGGTGGCTTTAGGGTTTTAGGTTTTAGGGTTCAGGTTCAGGGTTGAGGCACTTCTAATGGGGGCTTCGAGGCGCGGGCTCAGTTTGAATAGCAGAAGATCCGGTGATGAGGAAACCTTGCAAAGCCCCTCTGTGTGCCGCAAACTTTTGAATCAATACTCCTGAACGGCGCAGCGCAAGCTCGCGGGAACTGCATTTTCCTTTTCATTCATACGGCATGCAACACAGGCGATGGCTTTTATGACCGACCGCAGCCGTTGTCAACAAGCTTTTGCGCTCCCCTCGCCGTGCCACTACCTCGTCTGCCCTGTTGGTCACGTGCTCGGTCGTAGACCTTGTAGTTTTACCTCTTGCGTCTTCGTCTTTTCAGGTACCATGGCGGCTCTCCCTTGCCCCGGCCTCAGACGGTAGCCACGGTCCCGATAATTACACCATCGTCGCATGCAGGCCCGATCTACGCAGATGCACGGGCGGTGGAGATCGACCTGGAGGCGCAGGACGAACCCGAGATGATGCCCCTGCCTCAGACCGGGTTCCCTTTTTTTTCCTGGGTGGTAGCATCTCGTAGCGGGTTGGTGCCAGGTATCCGTCGTGGTGGAAATGCAAGCACGCGGCAAAGGCGCAGCACTCAGCGTAAGCGATCGGCCAGTGACCCGGTTGGCAGGTTTACGACTGGGAGCGCCTGCTACTGTCCACCATTGACGCAGGCCAGCCTGACTGACACCAAATCCTCGTTCCAGAACTTTCATGCCAGGCGAGCACGTGTACACTGTCTACGAGAAGGCAGGTAATCGGCAGTACTGCTCGATAGACTTTTACTTACCTCAGGCC